TAGCTTTTGTGGTTCCCGAGTTGAAAGTTGCGGACAAGTTGCTGCGGACACACACACACACATAAATACACACAGAGGCAACCCCGTAACAATATGCGTTTTGTACTGCTGTTGTACAGCACAAAACGCATTAAAAAATGCCAGACGTATCTTTGTAGTGCAAAAGTCTATTCGCGAAAATCCTGTCTATTCCAGTGACTGAATGAGCATGGGATGAAAGGGCGCTGCTAGCGTTCATTTTCAAAAGAATAAATAGTGGCATGCACAAGGAGAAACGTCTCGAATCTTACAGTAAGTGAGAGCAGTAAAATGTACAGGAAGTGGTTTTTTTCCTGACGCCCCGGTCTTTCGACGCATTCGTCGTATAAAATAAGCAAAGTAGTTTTAGATGTTATGGTGATACATACATTCCGGTACGAAGCGATGTCTCAAGAGCAGACCTTTCACGTTGCTTTACGTCAGGGATGTGGGAGCTGATTTCACGCTTATGGATTTGAATATGGCCGAAAACCATGCTTCTACTAACTTTATAAATTTCTGGTGCTAATCACTGCTGCGAACTTGCATACATATGCACACAAACGCATTAAGAGATGCGCAGGATAAGTTTATGAATTCCAGAATCGCCTGCTGGATTGCTTTCATACATTGTTATTCAACATAAAGTATTTTTTCATCAGATTGTTCTACCTACTCCCACTCTCCTCTGCGTAGAGTATCATAAGGATGTATAATGGCTGCTCATTTTCTCAGGGTGAGCTACTTGCTGCAAGCACTGTTGTGAAGTGAATTTCGTTTGATAAAAATGAATGCAGCCATGGATGTTGGCCAGATTAATATTGTTGCGCCTCCTACAACAGGACAGGACAATGGCCGTTCGCTGCTATGAAGTTAAATATAGTTCAGATGTTCTCTACTTGTTAAGGAGAAAGGCCTGTGTTCGTCACCGTCTGTATTCATGGCAACCAGGATCTCATTACTGCCAGCTGCTCTCGGAACCGTCACTTACTCTCCTCGTCGACCGAATGGGCAACACCCGCATTGCCTACCTTAGCTGCTCGGCGCTCTTTTCATGCACTCGGAGAGTTACTTTGGCATTTGCCGAAGAACACTCAGATTTCAAGCAGGAAGCCCTAAGAAGATGCCGATCTCCGTCTTCCTGTGTCCATTTACCATTGCTGTGTAACTATCACCCATTACTTAACAAAGCTTGGAAAACTCCATTAAAGCAAACCGGCTATGTTAATGGTACCAACTACAGGGCGGAAATGATAGGTGACAAGGTTAAACGGCAAACTAAATTCTGGGAGAACACCATGTAGTCTCATTACACCTTATTGAAAGAGCTAGTTTGGTTTGTGCGCTGCTGGAGCCCTATGAACAAATACGATCCGATATGTCTCAGCGCTCAACTGATCCTGGATTTGCTTTGTGATCGGGAAATCAGCCTAACCATGATTTAATGATAAGCTGGAAGGGGATAAATGATTAGCTCCAAATTTCACTGTGCAAATTTTGCAGATTGGAGAAGGTGTTGAACAATGAGAGAAATCATTCACATTCAGGCTGGCCAGTGTGGGAATCAAATTGGAACTAAGGTTTGGCACTAGCCACTACTGCTTCTTACACTCTTTGCAAATCTTTTATCCAATAACAGAGTTGTATAATTGGAAAAAATTGCAGTTCTGGGAAGTGATCTCGGATGAGCATGGAATCGAACCGGATGGGAGTTATAAGGGCGATTCGGCACTCCAACTTGAACGTATTGACGTTTACTTTGAAGAAGCACAGGGTACCACTCCATCCTGCAATTCCAGCATTTCCGCTTATTAAATACGATAAACTTTCATCATTCGGCTCTTTATCCCAGCACTGTTTGTAAAATACGTTCCACACTAAAAAAGCTTGGAAATGAATTATATCACTTTTGCAACGAAACAATGAATTACAGGTAAGAAATATGTGCCTCGTGCAGTGCTGGTTGATTTGGAGCCAGGAACGATGGATTCGGTGCGTTACTCAACTTACGGAAAGCTTTTTCGTCCCGACAACTTTGTATTTGGTCAAAGCGGAGCAGGGAATAATTGGGCCAAGGGTCATTATACCGAAGGAGCCGAGCTCGTTGATGAAGTGCTGGATGTTTTGCGAAAGGAAGCCGAAAGCTCGGATTGTTTACAGGTAAGAAAATAACTTGCTATTAAAAAAGCTCAGGGGAAATAAAAAACTAACTTCAGATACGATCTCTAAATTTATGCTGCATCCAAAATTTTTTGCATCCTTTGATATGGTCATGGAATGTTTAAAAATACAGTTTTTTAGGGTTTTCAACTGACTCACTCGCTGGGAGGTGGTACTGGTTCTGGGATGGGCACGCTTCTTATTGCAAAGATACGAGAAGAGTATCCGGACCGTATCATGTCCTCATTTTCAATATTTCCTTCGCCTAAGATAAGCTTTTAAAACGATTTACA